TATTACCAGCGTATCTGGGGCCTGGTTACTCCCCGGACAAACTTGCCAGGCTGGATCCTGCTTCAGGGGTCAGAATCTGTTTCCCCATCATTCGAGGACTGTGGGAGCCTACAAGAAGGGGAGGCAACGTGTCCTAGAACAAGCTCTGTGACTAGACATGACCCCAAGCTTCCAGAAAGCACAGGAATCAACATGCCTGTGATTCTGTCGGGTTCTGCCATAGCCAGGAGCTCATTCAACCCTTGCCCTGCCCAGGTATGTATCAGGGCAGTCCCAGTATCCCCAAAGGTCCGTTTTATCTGGCCCCCAGCCCTTTGCCTGTGCAATTCCCTCTGCCTCGAAGGACTTTCTACCTCTTATTTTTTGAGACTCGTGGCCATCTTAAGACCCCTGTGAACGTCACTCAAGATACAGATATGATGCACTAGCCTGTCTTTCCTGATGCCTCCTGTCAGGTTTGGGGGTCTTCTCTGTCCTTCGTCTCTCTTTAGGCTCGTTATCGCTTCCTTGTGACACCCTGTTGGGCAACTGTGCGGAGTTAACACTGCCTTTCAGCCTGGGGTGCACGCCCCCCGTGCCCAGCACGGGGCCCCGCCCAGAGCAGGGGTGCAGCTGGAAGACGTGCCCTGGGAGGTTACAGTGACATGTAACATGGGTTGGGGGGTGCAGAGTAGGAGTCTGGGCTCAGCGGACAGGCGGGGGGCAAGGATCCTCATACAAGCTGCTGGAAGGTAGCTCCTCCTCCCCATAGCTACAGAGAGAAAGCCTAACCTTCCAGATGTTTCTTGGACTTCCCTTTCCGCATGGTAGAGCAGCCAGGGCCCCCATACAGGTGAGTATTGCAGCCAACTGCTCAGATGTAGGGGTGAGGGGCTCAGGGAGCCGGGCCCGCACAGCCACCGTGGCTTCAGTCGTGAGGCCGCCAACGGGCTGCTTCTCCGGGGCTTCCTGCAAACCTGTGCTGAAGGCTTTCTGCTTCCGATGCGTTCTGTACGGGCGGGGTGGGGGTGGGCGGACTCCACAATGGCCCGCCGCCTCTCTCCAGCCTCACTCGAGCCCCTTCCCTGCCACTTGGTTGGGAGACAGGGCGGCTCTGAGGTCAGGAGTGTGGAATTTGGAACCAGTTTGCTTCTGTTCCAGGCCCAGCTCTGTCACTTTGTAAGCCCCAGGCCCCATCATCTGGTCTCATCTGTGAAAGGGGGCTGATGATAAAGTACCTACCCCTTAGGAACGGGGGTGAGATGAGCTAATTGGAGAGAAGCACTGAGCTCATAGAATGAGCTCGATGAGTATTAGCTAATACGGCACAGATGCAATCAATTCATCTAAAACACTTGATGACTTCACTCGTAAGAGAAATGCAGATGAAGACGGCAAGCACTGTGGCCAACAGAGAGGCAGAGACGCCAGGGCGGATGCCGTGCTGGAGAGGGTGTGGGGAGGCGTGCACGCGGGCCGTCGATGGAGGGCGGGCCACGTGGTGGTATGTATCACGTGAAAGATGCGCATTCTCTCTGACCTAGCAATTCCGCTTGGGAGTTTAAACTCACACGTGTGTGAAATGACCAAGGATGTTCACTGCAGCGTTGTGATAGCCAAAGATCGGAGACACCGAAATGTCCCTGAATGTGATTAACTAAATTACGTGTGGCCCTGCCAGAGATAAGCTCAGCTATGGAAGGAGCGGGGCCGCTGTGTGCGTCTGGCGAGTGTAGAGCGAAAAGCAAGGTGCAGACAGAGAACATGATATACTCCCAATTTTGTTATATTTTTATTCACTTGAAAACACATCCCTGAAAGGATACTCCAGCTATTCAGCAGTGGTTGCTTCTGGGGAGGGGTGCTGGGGGGCCAGGAGATGCACCTGGGAGATCCACACACGGAATGCCCTTACGGACCTTCTGAAGTTTATACCAAGGGCGTGTGTCACCTAATCGAGAAAAAGCTGGCTGGAGGAGCACATGTCTTTTCCGCAGCATGACAATGGAGGCCCAGCGCTGAGACACCAACCACTTCCCGTCTGTACCAAGGAGGAAGACAGGTTGAAACCTGTGGCTCTGCTCTTACCTCTAATCAAGAAGTTTTTGCCTTTAAGAAAGTGAGTCTCACCTCTCTGTCAGACACTAAACTGATGCTCTTCGTAATGGCAGAGGACGACACCTGGGCACGGGCGCTCCTGTGGGGGGTGACCGAAGAAGGGTGGCTTCCAGCTCCCCCAACAAAGTGCTTCCGCCCAGATGAAGGAGGAATGTAGTCTGCATGCCAATCTCTTTAAATTAGACATGGCCCATCTTGCTGCCACTAAATTCGGGCATGCTGACCACCACAGAGCAGCAAGCTGTGAAGGAAGAGGTATGTGACATCCTCGTTTCCCTCGCAAAGTAATTCTGGCTAATACTGTTTAAAGGCTACTTTATTGCCGTGTTTGGATAGGAAAAGGCATACTGCCCTGCTGGGATGGTGGGTGCCAATACCACTCAGCTACGGGCACAAGGATGGCCATGGGGGCTTTGCTTGAAGGGGAGAGTTTGGGAGCCCCAACAGTGGGCAGACGCAGAAGTCAAGTTCAGAACCATACGGCAAGGGCGGCCTTTACTGGATGCCCAAGAAGTCCTTCTGGAGGGGTGGGGCTGCTTGGCGAGGCAGACAGGGTCTCAGTCATGAGCAGCCGCAAAAGGTAGGACCACACCCCAGGAGCCAACAGGTTAGCAAGGTTAGTAATGAGTATCTTTACCTTGTTCTCAAAAGCTTTTCTTAGCCTTGTGTGGTGGGCTGTTAAAATCAGAGAGCAGAGGGTCAAGATTTCTCCTCATCCCGTCTTTTTGGTCCCTGCAGCACCTCTGAACTATAACCCCTTCTGAATCCTAAGGGATTATACTTCATGTTGCCCCCCAAATTCTCCTGTCACAAAACTGATAGAAAAGGAGACCACTTCCTCATTTGTAAAGTGAAGACAGGAGTTGAAACTTACTTTTGGCAGAGGGACTTGTCAAACAAACCTCAGGAGGCACCCCCACGTGTGAAGCAAGGCGGAGTGGAGCAACTGTGGTTGAAGCGGGGTGAGCGGCCCCGAACCCCACCCACCCTCCCTTCTATGCTGGCTTCTGATGCGCTTCTGGGAAACCTGGAGCTTCAGGAGAAGGCAGCTGGACAACCGCTGGACAGAACTCTGGATGGACGACCAGGCGACAGGGGAAGGGAGGTCTAGGGGGCGGGAGATGGAAGGGGAGACTCCTCGCTGCCTTTTTGTTGAATTTTGAACATGTACCATGGACAAGCCTTACCTGGCTAAAAACAAATACAATTTAAAAAAAGAGGATAATGCTGAAGGACTAACGCTCTCTGAAGTATCATCCTTAATTCAAAGAGTCTCTGATTCTGCAGGTTACATCTGGACATGCTTTATTCTTTGTGAATTCATTACACCACATATCAACAGTGGAACCGATGGAAGCGTCATGTCAGTCAGTGATCCGTGGTGGTCTCCCAGACGGAGCAGCTGGGTGGAGGGGAGAGTGCGGCCAGCACAGGCAGGCAGGCCCGGCTTTGAACATACATGCTGCTGCTTCTCGGCCCCAGGACCTCGCACAAGGTCCTTACCCTCTCCGGGACCCCAGTGTCCGCTTCTGGAAATGGGGGATAACGATGCCCGCAGGACTGTTGTGCATGTTAAAAGAATGGATGTACAGCAAGGAGCACATAGCAGGGGTTCGATACACAGTCGCTATTGTAGTTACAGAAAAGTGAAATAGAAAAACCAAACGCCTAAATCCAAAATGAGACTGTGAGGCCATTCTGATTCTGGGCTAGGTCCTGGTGCACCCGCCCGCCACCGCCCTGCTGGAACGGCCGCCTCACGACAAGGACGGGCACGCTGTCTGCCTTCCTGCCGGGCGGGGGTGGTCTTACCTGATGCCCTCCCACCTGCCCAACGCCGGGCACGATGCGGGCGCCATCTTATTCGGCATCCTCCCTGGCGGCTGCCCGGGTCTCCCCTGGCACGCCGGCTCCGGCCAGATGGTGGGGGCCTCCCACAACCCTGTACTTGGGGTTCAGTGAGAAGCAAGAGCTGGGCGGCCTGGCAGTGTTGGCCACGGGCACAAGCAGGGTGTGTGGTATCCCCTTTGTAGCCTGGGTGCTGACCCTGGGCTAAACACGCCATTTAACGAAATACTGCTTTTCTGGATCGGTTGGTTCCTCCACCTCCTCACTCATGAAGAGACACTAAAAACCTGCTAACGGGCCGCTGAGCCATTTTCTCACACCCCGTGTAAAATGGGTGGGGTTCCAATGCGAAGGCCCAGCCGTGTAAGGGAAGAACAAAGGAGACCCCACTTCTCAGGTTCCCAGTGGGCGCCGCACGCTTAGATGACTCAGCTCGCCCCCCTGAGCCCCACCCCTCCTCTGCAGAGCAAGGAAGGTAGGCTGGCAGGCGTGGCTGGAATTTGGGCCCAAGGCCTGTTTCCGCCCTCCCAGTGGTGCTCCCCCCGCCCCATGCATGGAACTGCCTGGAGCTAGAACTCGACCCGGCACGTGGGCCGCACCCGAGATCCCGATTTCATCATTCGGGGGGAGGGGGGCGCGACCATGATGTGTTTGTTCGAGCTCCCTCCCGACCAGTGACTCTGAGGGGTGGCCAGGGTTCGGAATGCTGCTCCAAGGTCTGTGTGCTCTGGGTGGCTGGCCTCACTGTGCCCTGGAAGCCTCCCCGGGGCTGCTTCTGCCCGAGCCACGTGCCTTGTGTCACTCTTCGGGTCAGGGCTGAGAGGCCCAGAGAGGTCACCAGTCCACGCGCTCCCCTTCCCCGCTCCAGCTGGGCAGCCTCCCCGTAGGACTCCGGAGCAGCCGCGGGGGCCACTGTGATGCTCTCTGAGCCTCCGTTCCCTCACAGCGAGTGAGGCCCACCACTGACCTTCCTCAGAGGCGTCCCAGGACAGCTGCTGGGAAAGTGCCGGGTGAAGAGCAGAGGGTACTGCTCTGCTACAAAGAATGCCAGCCAGGAATACCAAAACTAGCTTTAATTTGCCCCAAAGTCACATGGTGCCGTGTAAAAACTTTCTGGATGGAGGCCCAGAGAGAGTCCATGCTGTCTGAGGCCAAGGGGGTTTCTAGAAGTTCTCCAGCAAGCCCAGGATGCGCTTTTGCTCGTTCTCCCGGAACTCTGGGCTCCGGCCGTCCCCGATGTTCTCCGCATACTCTGGGGGAGACAAAGGCAGCGTGAGGCATGGCCTTCCCTAAATCCCCGCTCCTGCCGAGGCGCATGCTGTGCTAACACCTCCATCAGCACCCCCCGGGGCCGCCGTGGCCGGAGGTGCTCGGTGCACAGGGCCCGGCTCACCTGTCCTCACTGAGTCCTCCCCAGCCGCACCCCCCACTCACGCATGCGGTCATCGGCGCACAAGAAGCGGGTGCCTGCCACGGGCACGCTTGCCCCGGACAGCGTCTGTCAGAGCGTAACCCTGACCAGCAGCAGCAGCACGCAGGAACTTGTCAGAAACACAGATCTGGGGCCCAACTCAGACCCACGCACAGACCCAGCAGTCCGTGTGAACGAGCCGTCCAGGGAGTGACGACACACGCAAGTTTGAGAACCACTATTTGAAGCAACAGGGATAAAGTAATGATCAAAAGAGATGAAAAATCTCCGCTCTTGTGAAGCCCACTTTCTAGTGGGGGAACAAGCAAGTGAATAGCACAGAGAGGGGGGCTGTCAGAAGGCCTCACAGAGACATGATGAAGACCTGAGGCAAACTCCGCTGGGCAGGCCTGGGAGCGAGCGGCAGAGGGCTGGCCAGGGAATAGGCTCTGAGCGTGGACGGTGAACGTGGAGGTCCGTGTGGCCGGAGCTCGGCCCTGGGGACAGGAAGGCGCGGCCACAGACCACAGGGCCTGTGGGCCGCTGCAAGGACTCTGGCCTTTCCCCTGCGCCCAGAGCTGTGGGAGGGCTCTACGCAAAGGAGTGACAGCTCACTCCAGTGGCTGTGTGGGAGATGCCCTGAAGGGGACAAGGGCAGAAAGTGGGAGATGTGATTTGATGGTGGCTGGGACCAAGAAGGTCACAGCAAGGGTGACAAGTCTTCAGATTTTACATGCATTCTGAAGATAGGCTGGAAGTGGGGTGCTAGAGAGACACGTGGATATGGACATCACCAAGAAGTATGGCAGAATAGTGGAGAAGGTGACAGTAAGCCTTGTAATCCCCCATGAGGGGAACAGGTGCTGCACCACCAAGGAGGGGTTAGGGTGCAGTCCCTGGATGTGAGATTCACACAGCTGGAAGTTTTTAGGTAAATGGGGAGGTGGGAGAAACAATGGTGTCGAGATGGTCCTCCCTTGTCTTCAGTGGCAGGAGGACGTGGGAGAAAAGAGCCACCACTGGAGAGGGCCCACCCCTGGGAGAGGTGGGTTTCAGTTAGAGCACAAAGGCAAGGAGAATGCTCTAAGAAGGAGGAGGACACAGAGGATGACAGTGAAGACAGATCTCCAGAGAACACCATCAGAGCATCAAGATAGGTCACCACGTGATCGACTTTACCCAGTTATCCCAGCACGATACTTACAGCTCTCCATTTCATTTTCAAAAGTATCCCCTCAAATTATATAGTCACCCTGGTTTTAGGAGGTGGGGGCATACGGTGCAGAAATGCTGTGGGACTTAGGGACTGGAGTGCAGGGCATGGAGGTGGGGGTGGGCTTCCTGCAGTGAGTCCCAGGAGGAAGGACAGAGAATGTGCTGGAAGGGGAAGGGAGGACAGTGTTCTCACTGCCCGCAGACTCACAGAGGGGAGACAGTGTGACATCGTGGGCTGGGTTTGAACCCTGTCTCCGACTCACAATCCTAAGTGACCTTGGGAGGGTCTCCTCTGAAAATGTATAGAAAGTACTTGGCAAATAACAGATGTTCAAGACACATAGCTCCCTCCCCGAGGCTCCTTTGCTCAGGCCAGCAGGGCCACATGTGGAGAGCCCACATATCCCTGCAGGCCCCTCTTAAGGGCCCTCTTCTTGGTGAAGCCTACCTGGTGCCCTCTTCCTCTAGCTCCTGTCCTCAGGCCAGGGTCCCCATCACAGGCCCGACTTCCAGACCACCCTGAACTTGATGGGGAGGTTCAGGAAGGCAGAGGCATGTGCCTTACTTTTGGCTGAATACCGAGCAGAGTCTGGCCAAGAGTCAACTGTCAGTGTGGCGTGGTGCACAAGCTCTCAGAGTAGTGGACTAGGGTGACTGCTTGCGTCCCTGCCCTGCTCCCCACACTGGGCAGCTTCAGGTAGTATAGACAACTCTGGGCAAGAGGCTTTTACATAATAAAACATCTGCTGATCCAAGTCAGACAAAGACCGGGGAGAGAGAAGAAAGTGTGCAACCCCTCCCCTGCTTCCTCCCACCCCACCGTGCTGGGGAATAACTCTGCTCCTGCCACTTCTTCATTTTTCCTCCTTCCTCTTCATTACTTTGGGCATGTGCCGGAAAACGGGATTTGGGATTCAGACATGTGCCAGCTGCGTGTCTCCCCCTGGAAATAGTCCTCTTCCATTAGATGCATTCATCACCTCCACCAGCAAATGGCTGTGATGCCTTCTATGAAAGGCCCCTTAAAGAAAGGGCTGGGGTAATGGGAGAACAGGATCTGGGCTGCAGAGACAGCTAAAGGGCTGTACGTAAGTGCTATCTCTTACTCACGTGTGAATCATCTAGTAGTTGCTGCCCCAGGAGATAGGGAAAAGACCATTATAGCATTTAATACCCCCAGAGGCATGGTCTGGAAGCAAGAGTCTTAATGGATTGAACTAACACTTTGCTCTCCTACTGTATTCTCAGACCCAGGAGGGAGGGAAGTGGAGGAACAGTCTGATCCTTTGGGGCAGTGATTTTCCAACTCAAGCCAGCTTCCCTGTAGGGACCTAATCTCTTTCTAGAGACCCACAGGTAGAGGAAACCAAAGTCCGTATCAAGGGAATTAGAAAAGGCCAAGGCCTTAGAAAAAAAATACAAGCACACAGAGTACCCATCCCATGGCCCATCTCCTGTTACTCTCTGTGGGGAAGGGGGAAACCATCAGATTCGCTGGTGTCTGGCAACAGGCTGAGAACAGAACAGGCACAATGTGGAAGAGGGGCTGTCTCCTCACAGTGGGTGCCAGGTGTGGAGGTATGATGACTCGTCTGATCTTGGTAGCAATCGTGCAAGGGAGAGAATGCCATCCCTGTCTGCAGACAAGGACACTGAAGCTTATTAGAGAACTGGAGCAACGTGCCCAAGTTCGGGACGGTAGAGAGGCTGAAATTCAAACCAAAACATGTGTGAGTTGGGAAAAAGGCACCTAAAGAGCCAGTGGGCGGGAGAGCCAGTCCCCAAAGTGGTATCTTTTTACTAAGCAATATGCCACCTTGCCTGTTCCCTACCCCCTGGGGAGAAACTGCACTGTGAGCGCTCCAAAGCAGCCCAGCCCCACAGGGCTTCTGGCTACAAAGTCCTCCCAAAGGCTAAGACTCTGGATGCCATGTCCTGTGGTAAAGGGGTCCCAGTGGCCACAGATGTGGAGCGGGTCAGAATGTCAGAACTGGCAGGGCCCTCAGAAACATAGTGCAACTCTGAAGGGCGGGTGACTGGCCAGGGTCCCGCAGCAAGCCAGCCATGGAGCTGGGCCCAGAACCAGGTCAGATGAGGCCCCAGTGCTCTTCCCCGGCCATTGGCAGCCGGCATAGCTGTGCCCCGCGCCCTCACTCTCCGCCCCTTACCCCTACTCATTCTTTGTTTCCATAGTAGAATCCTATTTGGAGCAAATCTTGGTGGTGCCAGCTACCTCTGGTTATTATAGCTGCTGCAGCAGTTTATAAATATTGAACAGATTCCTCCCAGAGGTCTTGGGGAAGAGTTCTCTTTGCTGTGTGTGTGTGTGTGTGTGTGTGTCTAAGAAAGGAAGAGAGAATGCAGAAAAAGAGAGATGGTAGATGAAGGGGGAACTGGGAGTGGGGTAGAGGGAGAGCGGGCTGGAGGAGAGTGGGAGAGAAGAAGAAGAGGGTGAGTCGGGCTGGAGAGAGTGAAAAAGATGGTGTGCACATCAACTCCCTTCTCTCCTGCCCCAGCATTTTCAAATGCTCTTATAATAAAGGCTTTGATGGAACTCAAAAACAGGCAGCAGTGCTGAACGCATAAATATTAAAGCAAACTTTAGACAGCGGGTTTACTATTCAGACATGGAATACAAGCTGTTCTGTTTATGTTAAGAGGGAGAGGGAGGGGCCCTGGGGCTAGTGGGTGGGGAGAACTGTCTTCAGGGCAGAGACTTGGGCCGAGTTCACAAGCCTGGTCCAGACCCCTGAAACTGAAGCCTCAAATGCTCACCCTTTAAAAAATGCAGGAGGAAGGGGGTGAGGGAGGAGAAGAATGCCCCTATTTTCACACTGAAAACTCTGGAAGACACAGGCATAACCACAGACTAGAAACTGGGAAAGGAAAATCCATGTGTAACAGATTCCTTAATGACAACGATGAACCTGGAAGGTCTAGTGTCACACTTCCCTAGAAGGAGGACACTCACCTGTAGCTACAGGACACAAGTGCATCAGGGATTCCACTAAAATGACACCCACTTAAAGGAGAAGGATTCTGGGTGTTGTACGCAAACAGTGAATCATGGGACACTACATCAAAAAACTAATGATGTACTCTATGGTGTTAATTAATTAATAAAATTTAAAAAAAAGCAAAAAGAAGCAAGCACATGAAAAATAAATAAAAGAGGGGTGCCTGGGTGGCTCAGTCAGTTATGCGTCTGCCTTCGGCTCAGGTCATGATCCCAGGGTCCTGGGATTGGGTCCCGCATCGGGCTCCTTGCTTGGCGGGGAGCCTGCTTCTCCCTCTACCTGCACTGCCTGCAGCTCCCCCTGCTTGTGCTCTCTCTCTCTGACAAAAAAATAAATAAAATCTTAAAAAAAAAAAAAAAGAAAAAGAAATAAAAGAGTAAAAAGAAAAAAAAAGGAGGATACTTATCATGCTAACAGGGGTCATGTTCTCATTGTCCCGAGGACACTTGAGCTGCCGGGAAAGCACCCTCCCCTCCCCCACCAGGCCCCGAGGAGTCTCGTCCATGTGCTGAGTCCAGGCTGCTGTCACCTCCAGGTCAAAGGATTAGGCCAAGAAAGCCAGGGAGGGAGCCTCCATTTGCTGAGCACGTACTCTTGTCCCAGGTGCCT